CTTACATGAAGGCAAACACACTTGCACGCCCGGGAAGTGCTCCTGTTGCAATATGTTGCTCAACGTGTTCATCTTGTAACCAATCGAGGGCTTTTAAGGCAACAGAATAAAGGGGCAGGGAGAGTAGCGTCTTCAGTCGTATTGTCACTAATGAAACTTTCTGCTCTTGTATGGAGGTGTCGAGAGAACTACCCAATAGCAACTCATAAAAAAGTAAGGCGAGAACATTATTATTCATAAATCCTGGATGATGATCATGGGCGTTTCGATGCCTTGCAGCCTCATACACACACACTCTCTCCCTTTTTCCTCGGGCTAAAGGAGTATACATTGATTGGGTCGAGGATGTTGGCCCCTGTGTTGATTCAGATCAGGCGTAGGGCGTAACAGGTAGACAATAGATACTAATTCTTTTTTGTCTGCAAGGTTGCCTGGGCATTAATGACTCAAGAAGGGGTAACTTCTTGTTTCTCATTTACGGAGTAAAAGGGACGAATGATTGGTTACAAGATCTTGTTGATAGTGCCTCAGGTAATACACGGCGAATCATGGACTCCGGATAATAGAGGGTTCATCCTTGATAATTTTGGGTACGGATATTGATGGCTCAGGCATGAACATGTGTTATCCATATTCAACTTGGTTTTTTTTTTTTTTTGAATATGCAAATATCAAGACAGGGCGATCCCTTCCCTCCCTTGTCCCTCCCTTGTCCCCTCCCCTTTTTTTTGCTTTATTTTTTTTTCTGTAACAAATTTCACTACCGAGACAGCTGAAAAAAAATCTGGTTGCTGGGTCGTGCTATAGGGGTAGGCAGCATTGAATGTTTTAGATTTTTGGAACAACCGTGTAGAACTGCCGAGCGTGGGAAATCTCGGTGTCTTACGGTGTCATGTTTTAACACCGATTTCCCAAGTGTCAAGGATGGTAGATACCAAAGATCCAAGGGATCTCATTTTAAGATGAATAAATGAAAACTCGTGGGGCTTTACTGCACCCATTTATTTTCTGGGGATGAATGAGGCGTCGTGGGCCCTACCTCTGAGCGCCCATTCCACCCCTGTATTTGTACCCATGTTTAATCTTTAATCTTGATCTAGCTGCCAACACGTGTCGTCGCTTAGTAGCGCGTCGCGGGGTTATGAACCCCCCTTAGAGCGATGGGTGGTGGATGAACCTCTGTTCCAATCTGCCACTGTATGAATTACCAGAGGTAGTAATTGACCGAATACTTGTAGACTACGGAGTACAGCATCGCCGCTACTTGGAGCTTAGGACAAACCATGTCATACTTCTGGCCGGGTTCCCAGTATCACAAAGCCCACGCCTCTACCTCGTTATTTGGCGGGAACAATGGGGTCGTGCAGGAAAGGGAGGATGTTACAACATTCAAGGGGAAGCTCTTCGATGCTTTCAAAGGCATTGATACCCCGGGTTCCTTTGCATCCTTTGGCGAGTTGCCCGAGCTGCCGTCTGCTGGGCTGTCCGTCAATGGAGTCGGCGACATCACTATGCCCCTGGATGAGCCCCAGGCGCGCCGGTTAATTGCACGGTGTCGTCAGGCTCCCTATGGTAAGGGAAGTGACACCATTGTCGATACGTCTGTGAGAAACACTTGGGAGCTGGATGCATCTCAGTTTGCCTTCAAGGACTCGGCATGGCCGCATTTTATTTAGTCCCTCTGCACCAGAGTCGCTAAAGACCTTGGTATCGGTACGACCATCAGGGCTGAGATATACAAAATGCTCATTTATGAAAAGGGCGCCATGTTCAAGGCACACACTGAGTATGTTCAAGACTATTTCCCCTCCTCCACTTAGTTTCAAGATAGCTTTGTAGGTTGTTACGTCGTCCCGAATCTGACTGTTCTCACGCAGCACCGAAAGATTCCGGGCATATTTGGCACTCTTGTCATCTCTCTGCCTTCGGAGCATCAAGGCGGAGAGGTGGTGGTCAAGCATTGCGGCGAGCAGAAAATCTTCAAGGCGTCCGGGGCCACACAGTCCTACGTCTGCTGGTGCTCGGACGCATCGTATGAAGTACTCCCTGTAATCTCAGGTTACCGCTGGGTTTTGACGTATAATCTCGCCATTGATTTGGCAGAGGCACGTCCGTCGGCGAGCATGCAGCAAGTCGGGGCTCAATCGGTTCGTCGTCTGCTGCAAGAGTGGCTTGCCGATGACAAGGGATCGCGCAAGATGAATCACATCTACCATGTGCTGGATCACGACTATACCGAAGCCAACGCGTCTCTCAAGATGATGAAGGCGCGAGACTTGGCCCAAGCCCAAGCTCTAAAGGCTAAAGGCAATCCCCAATGAGCTCCCCTTTGAGATCTTTCTTACACTGCTAGACATTAATAACCTTTGTATAATTGGCCACGAAGTGCAGACACTGATAGATTTAGAGGGCCAAAAGGTGGCGGGGGGATTGGCACTTGACCCGAAGGACCTGGTCGACAAGGACTGCTTTGCGGACATTACAGATGAACACTACGAAGAATATATGGGGAATTCGGTATGTCGCTGTCTACTTTTGATTTGATATCCGTAGCCAGTGTCTTGAACTACATTGGTGTGCTAATGGAGCGGGTATAGGGGCCATCAGCTACACACTGGTACTGCCTAACGGTAGGAAAATCCTATATCTTACATACTACTCATCATTCGCTAATGCATAATCCAGGCCGTTTTACTTGTTCCTCGCGATTCCATTGTTTCGTTCCTAACTCCCTTTGAGCACCCGAGAGATACAGAGCATCACAATCTGGAACCACAGTTCGGCTATTTCGCACGACTTTGCTTGCGGCCGGGGCATCATGAATCACTTGTCAATGTACTGGAGAAAATTCATGATCACTTGGCGAACAAGCCGGAACGTGTGGGCACCTTTTCCGGGTTACCAGAAACGGACGGGGAGGCCATGTGCGCCGTTCTCAAGGCAGCGATTCGACATGAGCGATTCGCCCTCTTTGAGAAGGCCGCCGCAGCTCACAATGGCCTTTTGCCGATGAGCTTTTTTGCCTGGACTTCAGATTGGCTGACTAGTGATACTCATGTTGAACAATGGTCCAAGAATATTGAAAAGGGGTATGTATTCGACTCGGAGCGCACGATGACTTTGGAGACTAACCGTGATAGGCTATTTGGCGCCATCTCGAGATACAAATATTTCTCTAGCCGTGTCTTTGCTATTGCGAAATTGGTGCCTATCGGCAGTCCTATTTCCAGAGGACACGGCCAACGTGGTTACGTTCTCCATTGGGCCCGTGGAGCATTGCAGGCCCAACTCGATGCTGGCCTTGTCAGTGACCTTGATAAAGAAGATGGATTCGCCTGGGTCGAACTGGCACTGTATTACAGCAATCCACTTGCCCTTCTGCAGCAACAGTGGGTTTTCTCCTCTTTATTGGGCTTGTATAACACTTGCTAAGCAATCTTATAGTTTTGACGCTATCCATGGAAGACGGGACGCTGTAGGATTCTACCTCGGACTCATGGATCGCCTGATGCATTACAAGAAACAGGGCACGCTGCCTGCGGAGGAGTCCATGCTATTGTATCGAAATGTGGCCAGGTATTTTATTGAATCGACTGATTTCACAACGGTGCGCAATATCAAGGTAATCGAGGAGGCCAACGAGGAGAGGCAACGAACGTCTTCTTTCCCTCACCTCGGGCCCCCGAAAACGCAAGAGATCGAACGTCGGAGGGCCATCACGGAGGAAGACTTGTTGGAATTCTGCCGTTCCATCCTCGACATCAGCACCCCAGGGGATGACCTCTGGCTGCTATTCACCACCAAGCTTCTTGGCGACGTTCCCCGGCTGCAGGCCCGCGAATTGTGTCACTTTTGGATGCGGTTCATGCTACTCCTCAACATGCGCATCAGCCAGAGCACCAGGCCCTTGGTGCGTCGCACTACCCGGAACTCTTTTCTGCCGTCATCGGGTGGTGACCAAGACGTCCAGGCGGATCGATGAGACACGCAAGGATTGGGAACTGCGGCGGCAGACAGCGTCCATGCATCTTGGTTTGTTTGAAGAGCCTCAGCTTAGGCTGCTGCTAGGGCCAGCGTACGAGTCGATCATGACGATGAAGTGTATATCCTAGCCAAGGCCCAAGCCAGCTCCAGTCACAGTCCCAGCCCAGGTTCCCACCCCAGCCCCAATCGTTGCCCGGGTTCCAGCCTCCGTCATTGTCCCCGTCAGGTCACGGATTCCGGTTTCGCTTCCAGCCCCAGTCTCAGCTCGAGTCCCTCTACCGCCTCCAACTTCAGCCGCGGCCCCACCAATGCCACCGCTGCCGAATATTCTCCCTCCGCTGTCGTCGACGAATCGGAACCCGGGTCCCCTGCAGGGCCTTGAAGCGTTGGGCCAATCAAGGCGATCGGTATCTGGGACGAAACGGAAGCTGCCTGAGGTGATTGACCTGACCAGTGATTGACGTAATTAGTTGGTGCCTAAGGCATAATACGTTTGTGATTCGTTAGGTTTGCGAGGTTATATTCTTCGTCTCGTTCATTCCGTGGCAACACGCCATTGCCGCCAAATGAGAAGCTGTATTGTAGGTGGAGGAAAAATAGGTGATGGATCGCCAAATTGTCTGGTGATTGTAATAAAAGCGGGTAACAACTTTTGTGCAAGTAATATTATTTCTAATCACACACTCACATACAACCACCATCCAAAGAAGATACCAGTTATTGGGTGTTGTTTGTGATGTTGATAACTGCACCAAGAGTCGTCTCTCCAAGTCGGACAGAACACCAGAAGAAGTGAGAGCTGCACCACCCATTTGTGCCCCAGGCTCTTTGAAAAAGGAAGATTGAGCTTTAATTGTTTTCTTGTGACGACGTAGAGATAGGCTATAACCGTTGGGATCTCAAGTTTCCATGTTGTTACCAGACGTGAGGTTTTCCCTTGTTCGGCGCACCAAATACTGAAACAGATGTATACTTGCTTAAGCAACGTTCAAATAACGTGGGTCCAAGACCCAACGGCCCCTATAGCTCAGTGGTTAGAGCGTTGCACTTGTAATGCAAAGGTCCATAGTTCAACTCTGTGTGGGGGCACATGATCATCGCCAGATAATCAACTCCTTTTTTCTTCTTTTTTCCTTTTTTCAGGGCTATCTAACAATCTCATTTGATTCTAGAGTCACTTTACATCTTGTAAGTGTCTTTTAAAAATTCATTGGAGTCGTGGTAAGTCGACAAGATCTCCAGGTCGTTTACTCGTTCTACCGGGGGAGAGAAATAGGAGGGGAAAAAACAGAAAGAAGAAAATGAAGGAGAACAAGAAAAAAGCAAAGTGAGTAAGCAGTGCGTCGGATCTTCTGATTTTATCTCAATATTGTCGCCCTCCATTTCATGGCTCTCCAAGACTTTCAAGTCCCATATATCTAGACTACCCTGTACAATGTGCCAGCATACATAGGTAAGTACAAGTAATAGACTTTGATTGTACCTGCCAAGCCCTATCCATGGTTGGTTGCATATGGTTTCACCAATAAAATAATACCATATGGCCTGCCCTGACTTGCATGGATCCATAGATATTTATATCAAGGCTGCCTAGTGGAACATGATTGACATTCATAGGTACATCTTATTATTTGATCTATCAATGTGTTGTTGGCAGAACACTTTTCTTTTATTTACCTGCGTCGTTCCCTAAGTATTTCCCTAAATGTCTAAAACTCGCCTAGTATTCTCTAGTGTCGTCTTGAACGCTACCATGCTAACGCTCCTAGCTCAAACGACAAGATAATGAGGTCTCCAAATGATTTCATGCTTTTATCAAGGGAGAGAAAAAATATTGATGGATTGCAAGATAGAAAGAGAAAAAAGAAGAAAAAAGAAATGTGCCTCTACACAGAATTGAACTATGGACCTTTGCATTACAAGTGCAACGCTCTAGCCACTGAGCTACAGAGGCGTTGAGAAAGCGGCGACCATAATAAGAATATCAAGGCCACCTGCGACCGATGCTGTGCCATCATGCTCATTTTGGAAAGAGCATCTGTGACTACTTGCATCCTATCACGATGAGATCTAGTTTTCTGATTAGAAATTGTCTTTTTTTTGAGCAAAAAAAACGCCGCCGATAATAATATTTTGATGCTTGATAAGACATCATGATGACTCCTCCCCGTGGAGCCTTGCAACCTACTCCCCATCATGCACCGCACACCTACCTACACAACCCCCATCAGATGCTTCTCCAGCTGCACCCACGTCTTTGGCAAAAATCTCCCCATGATCCAATAATTCTCCGCATGGTCCCTCCCGAGCACATAGCAGGTATCTATGCCGCCATCGGGCTTGTCTAGCACTAGGTGAAAGTAATTCACCATGGTGCCCGGCGGGTTCGTCCTCGACTCTGCCGGCTCCCCCTGGCCTACCACGGCGGGGCTGAAATCCGTCGCCTGGATGAAGGCTGGCTTGAGGAGGTTGTTGAAGAACATGATTCGAGCGCCGGGCTCCCCGTACCAGAGGTTGGGCTTCCCCTTGACCCGGAACTCGTGGCGGAGCCTCTGCAGGAAGAGTGTGATTTGCGATTCGGTGGCCTGCTCGACGAGTTGCTGCCGGTTCGCCAGTGCGATGGCTCCCGCTGAGCTCGCCGCCGTCTCGGCTTGGATGAAGGAGTACGCGAGCAGCACGATGTTCTGGAGGTGGATCCCCTCCGGGTCGGGCTTCTGCAGCCACGGGATGCGGAACCTGCCGTTGAGGAGGTGGACGGCGGTGACTGGTCGTGGTGTGGCATTCGCCAGAGTCGCCGCTCGGATCGTCAAGGCCGTTATCAGATCCCCGTCACTGACAAACTCTCCATTGTTTTCTTCCCGGGCCTGGCTCTGGAGCGTCTTCAGGAGGCTCTTGGGGAGGCAGATGACTCGGGTTTCCCTCGGGGCGTCCCTGTACTTTCTCCATAGAAATCGTGACATCAGTTTGACCACCCCCAGGGCGCTTAGACGTCGCTTATCCAGGACCAACTTCTCCTTCGTCTCGGAGGTCCAGTTGTCCACCTTTGCCAGTACGTCTTCTCGCGCGCCAAGCACGGTGGGCACTTCGGCCTCCCGACCGGCGAGCACGAGGGACCAACTTCTCAGCAAGTCTTGCTGGCCGACGGCGTCCATCATGGTGTGAGGCCACGCGAGCGAGACAAGCGTCGCATCACTGAAAGACGTGATGTGGAGCGATAGCTGGGGTAAACCCCGCTCAATCATTTCCCCGATCGTCTTGGGGAAATCGGGCCGCGCTGCGAAGCACGTAAAGTCGTGAGTGTTGGGGATAGGCTGAATCGACAGACCATTCGTCGGCTTTGGGAGTCGACGCGCCACCTCATTGTCCTCGATTTTCGATTCGGGCAGCTTGACATGAGTAAACGTTATGGCGGGCTGCTCAGGCGCGAATTTCTTCGGCACATGAATCGTCATTTTACCATTGTCCTAACATGGTGTGAGCCCCCTTATTTATGTGGGAAACTGAAGCGTTGTGAATAGGTGTGGTGTACCTTGAACCTTAGCCTGCCACCAAGCTTCCTCCAGTCTCCGATTTCCAATAGTTTTGATAGAGATTCGTGGAGCTTATCGGCATCGAGAACGTCGTTGAATCTCATGATCCATGCGGGAAAGGAGTGATTGCCCGCGACATCGTCCAGGAGGTGCAGGGGATAAATGTCTGATGCATTTTCTTCGAATTGGGTCATTTCGAGCCGCTTTGTTTCGTCTTGTCTTCTCCAACTTATTCCCAGAATGCTGGGCGAAGGAAAACGAAAAGAAAGAAAGAAAGAAGGAAAAATGCTGCAAACTTTCTTTGTATTGGCAGAAATGGCCATGCAATTCAAGGTCCAGCGGATTGTGATATAACCCGGTACATATATTAATGAGTATGCAGTGCTACTCTGGGCCGTGAACACCTCCCTTTTGGGGAATTCGGTGCATTTCTTTGTTACCATGCTTGGATACCCAACGACGGCCACTGTCGGTCCGGGAACTGCCTCTCTCATTTCAATGGAGCCCAGGAACTATTTGACCGGAACGCACATCCCACTCTCGGCTTCTCCTACCCTTTCATAGGCTACGTCGGGGCGGACTGATAACCGTCGATCTGTGGCTTGAGACCGTTTGTATTGGTGGGCTGCTTAGCATGCGTTTGCTGTCTTGGATCTCTGTACTAACAGCGTTTCAGGATGATGATGCGCATAATCGCATTAACGAACTAGCACTCTGAACGTTAAAGAACAAATCGTAAGACAATGGCTTCCTCGAACAATGGCCGTTCCTCCCCTTTGTTTTCCTGGGTGCGAATTAAAAATAGTATGGACCGGAATGACAGACATGCCATCAATTGGAGGACATATGCAGCATCATTCCATGTCTATTGGTAGGTGCAAAACAGCCACATGTCTCAGTCATTTCTGGGCCTATTCCGTCTTTACGTTTATTCCTCTTATTTACTTCTAGGTTAGGTAGGTAGTTGGACAAGTAAGTGGCTATCGTCTGTTATAGCGCACAAACCATGTATATTACATCATACATACCGTAAACACTCGACAAGTTGGACCACCTTAGTCTGCGTTAAGGTATGTTAACGTCCGTTGAGGTGCTTTTGTTTTCATCTACCCCCCTGATTAGTCATTCAAATAAGGGTCTTTTCATTTGAATCAAATTGATGATTAAGTAAAAACTTATACCGGAATCCGCGGGCTTTATGCGGATCAAGGTGGCCAATTTGTCGAGTGTTTACGGTACTTGGGATCGACATCTGATGGTGGAAAACCTCCCGTACGGATGGATGGATATTTTTCAACCTACCTTACTTGCTGGGTAACCAAACGGGACATGCACAGGCAGCACGGGAAGGTAAAGCGAGGAGCCTGCATTCGAATAGAGATAGAACGGAAACCACAAAATATTTAGAGGCACATGTTCCTCCAAGCACTACATATTTCAGTTCCATAAAATAAAATGGGGTCGTCTCAAGAGGTTGTGCAAAGGTTCGAGGTAGAATGCAGCATTCGCTCAATACTATGGCAATATCAAACTCTCACAACCCAGACCCAACTCCCTAGAGAGCCTAAAGTCGGGAATATGAAGTGTTCTAGCCTGTAGAGTACGAACCAAGTATTGTGACAACATGGGGATTGCTGGATGTGTGTTTCTATAAACAGATCGAGTTTGGCGGGGGAGATGATCATCAGAAGGTAATGAAGACATCCGTCGACAGCCAAAAGGTTAATCCTCAAAGTTTCAGGAATCGCTTGAGAATCAGCCTTTTCTGCAGTTGGTTGGCTGGGTGTCTGCTAAAGAGCAGCTGTATTCAACCAAAGTCGTGTCAGAAGGTGCGGGTATAGAAAGAAGAGTGATGGAACCTAGATCAGCGGTATAGCTGGTGGCACACTAGGGAGTCATCGCATACTAGCAACCAGAAATGTTTTTAATCTCCGAGCCTCCTCTAACAAACAGGGCTTCCCTGGGCTATATATACAGTCGATATATCGTGTGGCTTCGCTATATGATGTAGGGCTATTTCATCATCTGACAAGTCGAGCCTGGCTCGACCATGGAACAATAATTTAGACCGCCCTGACTGTTGATCGCCCGTCATACACCCCTTAGAATCGCCCCTAGGGGGCAAAAGATGATAGGCAACCATAAGTTGAACGTTACTGTTGGCATAAACTTGACTTAAACGTTGCTAAAGATGCCTAGGCAGCGGCAATAAAGCGGGAAAATTGATACCGTACCCGACTGATTAACGCATGAATGGACCGATATGCGAAATTGACTGAGGGTGGCGACGACCCTGTATCATCTTCGGCTCGCACGAGCTCACCGAAAAGGCATTAACGAATATATCACGCCACCAATATATTTCCAATAGCATTATAGTTGTGCACATTAGGCTCGCAAGGTGGGTTTAAAAAAAGCATTCTAAAAATGCATTCGTGGGTCGCTTTTTCTGCCCCCCTTTTACATGGCTCCTTCATCGTGATATATGCATGCCACTCCGCTGGCTTTTCGCTTCTGCTTGTTGCTCAAATGGGTCTAATGGAGTGGTCTCACAAAAAC